CTGCCCACATCAATGAAAGCCAAGATAGAATTGCGAGGTTTACGCTCAAATTCGTTTTGAATGGCAACTTCTTTTCCTCTTATTGCATATCCGCGTCATCTTGACGTTCTCCGGTTGTCGACCATCCAGATATACTAGGTTTTTGTGCCACCATTAAACGTGGCTGAGCTCCTCAACAAAACGAAAACAAATACAACAACGGACAGAAAGTAAGTGCCACACATGGTTTATGATCTTCATAGGTAAGGTGAACATGTCCATATCTACACATAACAGAGCCGCCTCCTGCAATACAGAGGCATTATTGGATAAAGTATTTATCGGCGAGATTTGTCAAAATATTCTTACCTTATTGTTTGTAAGTAAGCATTTATTTGAGTTCAATTCTGAAATGTGATTTGCTAATAATCTTTATTCATTTGGATTACATATTTTTCTTTATGCCCATGTGCATGCTCTTTCTCTAGAACTGACAGTGAGTTGTGGCGGCAGTTGCATTCTGTCCGTTGCTGTAGCTCCTTTATGTACGTGGCGCTCCAGGACTACCCTCGCCATACTGCAATCGTGAATAATTTCCAGGCCATGCTTTTGGATGTTGCGATGCGATGAGCCAATGTTAATGCAACTTGAGCTTCGTCAAGGTAGACGAGACGATTTTCCTGGTAGTGGTTGAAGAGCCAAAAAATGCGAAATGACCCCAAACAAAAGCAGGCGTAGCGAGCAGCTCTAATATCCATCGGTGTCTTCGTGCCATCCTTTCTCCAGTGTGGCCAAAGCCGCAGTTAAAAGTGGCTCAAACAGCTAACCGGTTAGGTACAGTGCTTTGTTAAAGATTTTGGACTTGTGTTTCTAGCAGTGTGTGTTGTGGTATTAAAGGCTACCAGAAGCACCGTTATTTGAAAAAAGGTATTGCAAAACACGTGATGTTGTCCACTCTGAGATTTTCAGCACAACGTACGTGTTTTTGGATTCCGTCGAGCAGCAACTGAGGGCTCTCTTACCGGTCTCCAGATTTTAAAGCAACGCAAACGACCGAGCTGTAATTCCTGCCGATGCGAGGTAAATGCTCGTTCTCAGACTACGATTTCACGGACGCGGATGATGTAGACGTGACCAAGTGTTCGTCCAGTTGCAAGATGGTACATCAAATATGCTCTAACGCCATCTACGTAGGAGAACTATCTGTCCGAGTGTGCTCGCAGAGCCGCATCGTCGCCCTTGAATTGTAGACGCAGTCGCACGCCTTGAGAGCTTCTTCTAGAGCCCCAACGGGCGGTAGTCATCGCACCGACGGCGATGAAGTCCATGATAAGAACCCACGGAAGAGTAGAAAGGCCAACAAGAAGCCCAGTACTCAAAACAACAACAAGAAGAAGTCCAATAAGTAAAGACCGATGATAACAAGAAGTAAGGTCAACGAGGTAAAAAAGGTGTCAAGCCCAGCGCTAGTATTGCAATAAAGGCCAACTCCGGGAAGAAGTCGTTTGGTGACAAGTCCTCGTCGAAGACAGCCCACCCAACCAGCGCAACACCGACTAAGCACGCCAATACCAACACGGAGGAAACTGCACGCCGTTATGAGCTGCAGAAAGACACACGCGACGGAGAAGTTGCATCTCCCCGTCTGACCACACAGTTGACGATGTCGGACACGTTTATGAAGATGACAGCGCTGGCGGCAGCAGTGACGATGCTGAACAAGAGGACTAGCAGACCAGCAAACGCAAGAAGTTTCATTTCACCGCTGAAGACGACTTGACTTTACTTAGAGAGATTCTGAATGTTCAGCCTTACGCTGCAAAGCACGGATCGGTCACAGCTCGTTACCATGACATGACGGACAATTTTAACGAGCATTTGGGATAAGCGTTGAGCCTGAAAACTGTCAAAGCGCGTTTTGTTTTGCTTCTCGTCAAGGAGTTCAAGACAGCAGATAGTGAATATCGCAAGAACTCGGGGGCGTCGGAGACGTACACCGAGCATAAGAAACTACTTCAAGACATCACAGATGTAATGCGAGATCTCCAAGATGAAAAAACAAAAAAGAAAAAAGCAGAACTTGCTCTTCTCAAACTTCAACTTGAAACCCAGAAACATTATAGGGATACCTTTACGCAAGCGCTGGGTTAAGGTTGTAGTTTTGAAGTTGATCCAGTTTAAATTGGTTATGACTGATGAGTGGAGTGGCTACTGGTTTGCGCTGTGATAAGATCCAAAATACTCGTCGAATGTTGGTGGCTTGCACGAAAAATATCTTGAGTTGGTGTTTCCTCCACGGGCAATCGTGATGCAGTTCATGAAAAGAACTCCGAGTTGTAGAGTGTGGCAGTTGGTGTGGTGGCGACTCGCTGATGACGCTTGTAGTCGAGGAACGAAAAGTATTTGGTTACTGCTCCATATGCCATATGAACACTAAACCGACACTCTAATAGCGCTCATAACCTTATTCAGTTCCTGTTGGGTGGCGTCGAGATGGCAGCCTTTGTACGGACAGCAAAACACGTTCGTACATCCGTACACTGGGTCGCCACAGATCAGATTGTTGTGGAAATTCGAGTTGTTCTTGAGTACGTCCTTGAATCCACTCTCATTCAACATGAACAAGTCGTGACGGCGGCCATCAACGGGGCCAAATAGACGAGAGATATGTCCATCTGGGGTGACAACAGTCTCGAACTGGAGTGCGTGAACTCTTTTGTGACCATTGTACATAGCTTGTTGACCTTCACTTGGCCGACAAATTGGTCGAACAATGCCGTCAATAAAGCCCCAAACGCCTTCGATCCCTGCTGGCTCCTTGGAAGATATCGCGGCACATTATCGGTCCAGGTTACTGACAACTCGCTCTTCATCGAAGTAAATCATATCTCCTAGGTTCTTTTCAATGAACTCGACAACGAAGTAGAAAATGTGGCACAACGTCGACGGGGCTCTACCAAACATTACAGCCTTGTCAAACCAGCGTTGTGGGTATGCCAAGCGGCGTAAGCACACAGACAGCGCCTCGAGGGAGTTAGTGCGCGCCCCTTCCCGTGTACGAACGACGTTTGGAAGCTTCATATGTCGTACAAGTAGCGGTAGTTCACTCACAGTGAAGCGAAACTGGTCCTCGGATTCCTCGTCAGACATTCCGAGGATGTCTGAGCGAAAATTAGGGACAAGGGTGTGCTCTCGGTAATACAGAGACGCTGGCCGCATCAACCAAAGTAGTAGAACTTCATCGTCGTCATCAGCGGATTGGGACCGCTTCATTAGTTCGGGTGCTTTATTGCGTGTACCAACGTTGAAGTTGTGAGTTGAACATTCAATCTTGCTAGTACGTGTTTTTATTACGCGTTTTTCTTTGAACGGTAGTTCTGAAGCAGCAAGACCAATTTAAAAAAAAACACGTAGCAAAAGTCGGGATCGACACTACGTGGTTTCAACTACGGGATTTCATTGATCGATGTTTCTGAAAGCCTCTATTGTGAACGCTTACAGTACGTTTTACCCATCACTACCTCGTAGCACCATAGACGTCTGCAGCCGATTTGACATTCCGGTGTGCTATATTATGCTGAAACCCAAGCAAACCGCAGAATTGCTCCTGAAGAGCAGTTTGATACTTAGTACTAACTAGGGCTTCGCGAAGACTAAGATAGGAGTTATTAAAAGTGCTACAGAATCGACGCCGTTGTGATGGCGTTAGTATCGGAAAACATCAACTACAAATGAAGTAATTGGCTTAAATCCGATGGGTTGGATGCACTAGCACGACGATAGCCATACCTAGCCATCACTCTGAGTGACAGGGAAGGTCTAACAAAACCTACACACCTATAGTTTGCTGTCCCAACCAATGAAACTTCCTGTTACTATGCATCTCCTCGCCTGGTACGCAACACCAGTATGTGCTTTCTTGAAAATGTTGTTTGGAAGTATACTAAGTATGTCTCAAACCGTTAAAATAATGTTTTATTAAATATCCTCTTCAAGATATGTATCT